TTTTTCTTTCTCTTGCCTTAAAACTCCAAGCAGATCTAAATTTTTTTCCTTTTAAAATTTTGATTTAATTTTTATTTTTTATAAAAGAGATGGGGTCTTGCTATGTTGCCCAAGCTAGTCTTGAATTCCTGCCCTCAAGTGATGCTCCTGCCTCAGCCTCCCAAAGTTCTGGAATTACAGGCCTGAGACACTGCCTCCAGCCACAGATCTAAATTTTTAAATGTTTTTTTTTTTTTTCTGTTTTAGAAATAAAACATCTTACAAATTGTGAACAAAAGCCTCTAGCTTCCAACAATTTCTGTAGTGAAGGTGTTTTTGGCAATCCAAAACAGCTTTTGGAAATACAATAAAAAAAAACTTTTGGCAACATGTATGTTAATTCTGAAATAAAGAAAAATCGATTGTTATCTGTATTGAGTATATAGTTTGAACATCAAAACATGAAGCAGCCTACTGGAGCACACATTGGCACAGTGACGCCCAAAGACCCGTATACAGCCGACTTAATTAGCAGAGGGCACTGGGCTCCAAGCCCAGGAGAAATTAGGCCAAAAGAAGCCACACTATGGGAAAGTAAAAACAATTGCTACAAACCAATTATGACCTCCTGCCCGAGCCATCGTTAAGGCATTAACTACACTCCTCTACCCTCGGCTGCAGCCTTCCTGTCCCCGGCCCTTTCCTGACATCTCTGTGGCACCGATCTGCACAGTGCCAGTGACAATTTTGCAATTTACTGACAATGTGAGCTGAAGGGTTTCGTTTGTTTTTTTAAACTTATTTTTAGGTCACGATACGTGAACGAGGTCTCTTATATTTTCAGAACTGGTATCAAACTAAAAATATGACTGACTCTAGTGCAAAATATTAGGTGGTTTGTATCAGTTGATTGAGATCAATTGCTGTCCCACTCTTTGTGCAAGGGTTTCAAGGCAGTCTAATGCTTTCTATGAGGAAGACGCACAGGATTTTGAATGTCAACTCACAGTCCTCGTAGAATGGTGCTTGGAAGACATCAGGAGCCTCATCAATACATGGGTGGCTGGGTGCAAGGACAACTGCGCTCCTGAAATTCACACACTTAAGGACATATTGTTGACACGGGCCACTTGCTGGTGCAGTGCCACAGACTAAGGAGGAATGGCATCTAATGAAGGCAGAGATCCTGCAAATCCCATGGCAGCCCAGGCATTCTCCAGCCCTGGGCATGATGCCTGAATGTCACGGGGCTGTCATGCCAGTGTGCTAACAGATGAGAATTAAAGAGATGAGAGCAGACAGAAACTCTGTCTCTGGGCAGCACATTTTCAGGCCATATCAAGTAGCAAACAAGTAGAAAATGAACCAGTAGAACCACTGGAAAAGGGACAGAGATTTGCACTCAGAGGACCTCAAAACCTCCCTCTGCTCCCAGGGTCTCTGGCAGCTCAGTCAGTCCCTCCAGCTCTGCACTTGGGTGGCTTCAATTCTCCTCCCCACACCCCTTTGCTTCCTTTCTGCTTTAAGTAACGTTATTTTGTTACTTGAAATCATTGTAACACAATTTTTGTAACAATATTATAAACACTCAAAAATATTTTTATATTCTCAATTAATGTAACAAATATTAGCTGGGTGTAGTGGCTCCCACCTGTAATCCCAGTACTTTGGGAAACTGAGGCTGGGGGATCACTTGAGGTCAGGAGTTTGAGACCAGCCTGGACAACATGGTGAAACCCCGTCTCTACTAAAAATACAAAAATTAGCTGGGTGTGGTGGTGAGAGACCGTAATCCTAGCTACTCGGGAGGCTGAGGCAGGAGAATCGCTTGAACCTGGGAGGTGCAGGTTGGAGTGAGCCGAGATTGCTCCACTGTACTCCAGTCTGGGTGACAGAGGGAGACTTTGTCTCTCTCTCTTTTCATACATACATATATATATATATATATATATATATATATATGTATTTTTTTGTATTTTTTATAGAGATGGGATTTATGTTCTATACATATGTATGTATATATGCACATATACATATATATGTATATGTATGTATGTATATAACAGAGAGATGGGATTTATGTTATATACATAAATACATATATATGTTATAAACATATATACATATACAAATACACATATATGTATTTATATATATAACATGAATATATATGTATATGGATGTATGTATATAAGAAATACCTCCATATATATATATATATATATATATATATGTATGTATATAACAAATACCTAATGACAAATGCTCAAAGAGAAGGAGAATTGGAGGAAGGGAGGGAAAAGAGAAAGAGAGTGGGACAGACACAGAGGAAGGGAGAGAGAGAGAGAGAGACTTTCTTATTTAGAATTTCTTATCGGAATAAGAAATAAGCTTATTTATTTAGAATAAGCTTTCTTATTTAGAATTTCTGGGTGTATGGGCTGTGACCATATCTATTCACCCTCTTTGGTAAGGCGTTAGTGTTCTAATAGCATCTCTGCTTCACTTCCCCTCACTTCATCTTCTCATTCTACATTTTTTTGTTAAAAATTATACGAAATGAGTTTGGTTAAATTATACTTTAATTTTTGATATCCTGCCTCTCCTTATCTTTCTGCAATCAGCCCCAAAATCCTTAGATTCTGTACACTTTGTGTGACACTTTTGCCATTCATTCACTCGTATTCGGTAGGCTTTCCAGGAAATGTTTCTTCACATACTGTATCTGGATGAGTTTTAAAAATCCACTCAAGTCATAAACCTGTCGTTTTTTAATCTTACAGTTGAAGAAGAACGTTAAACATCAGCATATCAAAATTCTTGGCCGGCATGGTGTCTCATGCCTGCAATCCCAGCTCTTTGGGAGGCTGAGGTGGGAGGATCACGAAGTCAAGAGATCGAGACCATCCTAGCAATATGGTGAAACTCCGTCTCTACTAAAAAAAAAAAAAAAAAAAAAAAAAAAAATTAGCTGGGCATGGTGGTACGTGCCTGTAGTCTCAGCTACTCGGGAGGCTGAGGCAGGTGAATCGCTTGAACCCAGGAGGCAGAGGCTGCAGTGAGCTGAGAGCACACCACTGCACCCCAGCCTCGTGACAGAGTGAGACTCCGTCTCAAAAAAACAAAAACATCTTTGCCTACATCATTTATACTAATTTTGCCCTCTATATTAGAAATCATGTTATCCAGCCCTAGAGTGGTTCAGAATATTTGAGGTCCTGTCTGCACTGATGAGCTATATTATTGAATTGAACGGGTAAAATCATGGAACTGGCCTATACTTGCATTAGCAGTTTGTGAAGAACATTTTGGAAAACGACATTCCTTTTTTCAACAGCTGGACAGACAAGGAAGAGCAAGTTGGTTTTGGTGCCTGAGATCTGAGTGCATTCCCTGAGGAATGGGCATCCCTAAGGAGATGTCATGGGCCAGAATGTTGACTCCAGACAATCCCAGTGCCCAGACTCGTTTGCACGGGAGGACCCTGAATGACCTTATCCCATCAGCTGAGACTTTGATACACATTTTCCAGCCTGTATTATGACTCACATTAAAACAGTTACCTATACAAAGATCTCAGCTCTTTCTGGATGAGTTTTCAGTGATAAACAGAATAAAATGACATCAAACAACTCCCCTTCCTAGAGGTTTCATGTCTGTATACACAAGCTCTGATTCACCCTCTGCTCATGAGTGGTTTTGTCCAATTGTCAAGCACAGTGTCTTCTAACAGGGACATGTGATAGTAATTGCTTTTCCACATTATCTGCCATTGACGCCATGTTGCCCTCTATTGCATCTTTTGATAAAGGGATTCTTCAAGTAGTTTTTCTTTCTCCTTCTGAACATAACATTTTTCATTAACTTTAACACTACTTTTCCCAATCTTTGAAGAATCCTGTGACTTGCACCTACTTTTGCTATGGGGAACGTGACTTTAAATGCAGTTTTAAAATGTTGTTTACCAAGACAATTGATTTTTTTTTTCTAGAAATCATCATTGGCCAGGCATGGTGGTTTATGTCTGTAATCCCAGCACTTTGGGAGTCCAAGGTGGGTGGATCACGGGGTCTAGAGTTTGAGACCAGGTTGGCTAACATGGTGAAACCCCGTCTCTACTAAAAATACAAAAATTAGCCAGGTGTGGTGGTACATGCCTGTAATCCAAGCTACTCCAGAGGCTGAGGCAAAATAATCACTTGAACCCAGGGGGCGGAGGTTGTAGTGAGCCAAAATTGCACCACTGCACTCCAGCCTGGGTGGCAGAGTGAGACTCCATCTCGGGGGTAAAAAAAAAAAAAAGAAATCATTATTTTGAGATTTTCCTACGACAAATTCATGGAGTTTACCAAAGAGATTTCACAGAGCCTTAAAAATGATATGACAGCTTCAGTAGTTTTGGACCTCCCTTTGGCAAAGTTTATGACAGTGACAGACTCCCAGCCATTTGCATTTTTCAATGTTGGCCTTTTAAGCAAAACAACCCAATTGGAGAGTCACTTGTTCTAACGCATACAAATTTACTGAAGTTGCGCTGAAATTTGTTTTTGCATTATTTCGAGATGTATTAGCATTATTTCCAATGCTAGTTTTTTTGTTTTTTACTTTAGGTGCATACTATATCTGGCATTTCTCCCCATATTATCCCTCCGCACTCTTACCTCCCTCCCCACCCCCTGCTGTCTCTCCCCTACCCCCCCACAACTCCCAATACTAGTTTTACACCTGATGAACCACCTGCAAATCACTGCTCTACATTTGTGAATTGTAAACATGAGATGCACTATGGAAAGAAGTGAAAACTCCAATTTAATGAACAGAAACAATCCAAATAGTGTGAAACTTTGGTAGCAAGGACAAGCTATAGACTGATAGCTGAGATACCCCGACCAACAATTCTTAGAGCCAAGTCATTTTTAGACTACATGGGATTTCTTTGAAAAGTCTAATTTTACACTGAAAATTTGAATGTATATTAACAACTTCTTTCCTCAATGTTGTTCTTGGAAATTGCTCAGCAGCCTGTGGAGTCACTGGTAGACTACCAGGAATGTCAGCAACCGGTGCTGAGGAACACAGCTCTGGGCCAAAGTAAGCAGCTGCCTGGCACCAGAACTCTCTAACTCCTGCTCTGCTGTGAAGGCTGGAGCCACCTGTGACAACACCAGCCCACTTTTTCAGCAAGTACTAAAGGCTCTATGCAAGTCCTCTCAAGCATCAGTCAATCAGCAAGAACATACTCTCTCAAAAGAAGCCAGACCTCAGCCAGATTCAGGAGAATGGACTATGAGCCAGGAGGACCCCATTCTCTGAGAGACTTCAATCTCTCTGAACATCAGTTCCCTCCTCTAGAAAATGCAGATCATAATGTCTCCCTAATAGGACTGTTGGGAGGAACAGACTAATTGAGATGTCAACCATCATACACCAAATACAGAGACTGGCACATACCATGGACTTTGTAATTAGTAGCTGTAACTATCTTCTATCTTTTTATTTCCCCATAGTAGTTAGGAATATGGGATATCAAAAGCTGGGACACTTAACTCCACAGTAATGAATTTATACTTGGTAATTCCAACCCACAGGGGCAGAGGAAATATTTAAATAGCCTGCAGAGGCTGGGCACTATGGCTCACGCCAATAATCCTAGAACTTTGGGTGTATATGTGCTGTATTTTCTGGACCACCAAGGCTGGTGGGCTGCTTGAGTCCAGGAGTTTGAGACAAGCCTGGGCAACATGGTGAAATCCTGTCTCTATAAAAAATACAAAAAAAAAAAAAAATCGCCAGGTGTGGCGGTTTGTGACTGTAGTCCCCAGCTACTTGTGGGCCTGAGGTGGGCTCTTGAACCCAGGAGGCAGAGGTTGCAGTGAGCCAAGATTGCGCCATGGCACTCCAGCCTGGGCAACAAAGTAAGACCCTGTCTCAAATAAATAGTTTCCCAAAACAATATATAGAAGCCTGAGAAAAAGCGGAGGCTCATAGGCCATGCAACACAGAACTCAAAGCAGTGCTTTCATTCTCCTTCAACCTCAGAGTGAAGTTTCACCATCACACACACAAAAAATTACATACATATTATTTGTATGTAATAAACCAATACAGACAATCAACCCTTCTTTTTTCTTTCTTAGAGATGAAGTCTTGCTCTGTTGCCCAGGCTGGGGTACAATGGCATGATCATAGCTCACTGCAGCCTCCAACTCTTGGGCTCTAGCAATCCTCCCACCTCAGACTCCCAAGTGGCTGGTACTACAAGCCCTGATCCTGCTTAAGGATTCTGTGTTTGCATTTCTGTGTTGCTGGTCATTTATGGTCCTGATCAGGTTCATGAGTGAAGGGGAGTATCAATAAGGAAGAAGGGAAAAGGTAGAAAAAGCATCAGGAAGGCAGGAGGAAGGTTGGAGGTGGGAGGAGATATGGGGAATTGAAGACAGTCATTGTGAACTCGGAATTTTGTGGGTAAGATGGAAACAAGGCTGTGATGCTTGCCTTGAAATTGGGGACTTGAGGGATTTGGATGGATAAACCAGATTTTTAGGAAATGTTGCTGCTCTGTGTTATGCAATGTAATGTCTCTTTTTTGGGGTTTGGACTTATGTTTCTTTTCCATGTGGCATTGTGCTAAAACAGGCAGTATGTGGATTGTAAACATTGCCACAAATTCTTCCCATTTATGTTGGAACACTCCACCACATAATTCTGTAGCTCCCCAGTCAAGAAATGATGTCTGTGTTTTCACCTCTTGGCCATGTGACTTAGTTTGGCCAATGGGACACTAGCAAATGTGCAGCACACAGAGGCTTGCAAAGTGCGTGCATATCAGAACTTGCTGCTCTTGGAGACGTTTGAACCATCACCCTTTGAAGGAGCCTGCCTAGGCTGCTAGATCAGAGGGACATAACATGGTTTTCTCCATGGGCCCTGCTGATAGCCACTGCTGAACACATGAGTAAGGTCACTGACTGGTGGCTGACAGCATGCTTGTGTGAGCGCTGCTGCAATCCCACAGAGCAGAGACCAGGCAGGAACAAGAATGCCAATATTTCTTAGGTTTGTTATGTGGTGGTGCTCTGTGCCTGGGGCTGAGTTAGTGCTCAACAATTAGTAGCTTATAAAAGAGCAGCTGCTGTCAACCAAACAGTGGGCCATCACTGGAGCACTGAGGCAATGTGAGTGTCCCTGGAGCACATCGACTGTAACCTGCCTCTGATGCAGGGATCCCTGACACCATGCCAAGATGGTCCTGATGTGCCTGGTGGCTTCTTGTGGCAGAGACTCCCCTGGCTGTCCATCCCACATAAAGAGTTGGGATTAGTGACATTCTGTCTGCTGTATTTAGCCAAAAGCAGCAGCATTGCGAGTGAGGAAAGAATTTTATTTTCAGAGTAATCCTGGGTCAAGAGACGTGAGGTGAAGGAGAAAGACCAATATTTCTTTGAGTTCCCCTTTGCCTATCCCCCTCCTCTACCTTAAGACATCTGCTGGAGTTCTGAACTGTGACAGCCTCTTCCCTTGCAATGACTCCATTAATTAGCTGGTCTGGGGTGATTTAGGTAACACCTATCCAAGGGTGTGAAGCCTCAGAATCTGGGTTGAAGGGGGCTGAGAAAGGAAGGCCAAAGAGGTGGGCATAGGAGAAGTCAAGGAAGAGGCACTGTGTCATGTGTGCAAGGTGAGAGGCCTATGGAACGAGACAAGGTATGGTGTGATGTATGGCAGATGTGCGTGCAGAGGAGATGCCACACTCAGTAAGTATGCTACGGCATGATTTTCTGTGCTCAATGGACGATTTGCCACAAGCTTTGTAGCAAAAGGAAGTTGACCTGGAGTAAGGTCAACTAGTGTCCTCAAGATTTAATAGCTTATCAGTCACTCCTTCATTATTCATCAATATTTACTTAACACTAAGTTCTGGGGATGCAGTGACCAAAATGTGAGAAGTATCTGAACTCACGGAGCTTCTATTCTAAAGGGGGAAGTCCCCAATTAACATCTTATTACACAACATAGTTTTGGGTGCATAAAGCAGGGTGAGGGGTTGCAGAATGTTTGATGCCTCTAGATGATGTGGTCAGGAAATATCTTTCTGAGGCGATGCTGTTTGAACAGAATCCGGAATTGGTGACAGCACCTCAGGCAGAGAGCACAGCGCGTGCAAAGGCCCTGAGAGATGATGGCGCTGGTGGAGGGTAGAGTCAGCCCCTGATGGGACACTGGTTGGTGGGAGATGCCTGCCCGTCATATGCAGGTATCCCTAGGCCATGGACAGCACCTTTACTTGGTTTACAGTAAGTGGGCTGGAAGCCTTTGAGGATAGGGAACAGGGGAGTAACTTGATCTGATTTTCATTCCTAAAGGATTCTCTGACTGTTGCATCTGAACAGAAGACTTTGGGGGCACCTTGGAAAGACAGAGCTGGGTGTGGAAGCTAGAGCAGTGGCTCCACTGCTGGGTGATCTTGACATGTAGGTCAACCTCTCTGAGTGGCAGAGTTCTTGTCCACACACTGGTGACAACTATTATACCATTTCCCTCCCAGCATTGTTAAGCAATTTAGAAGACATTGTTTTCAGGCCTGGCTCTGTGCCAGGCATGTGGTGGGGCCCTGAGCTGTGTGGAGGACTGGGTAAGTGACATACATGGGTCTAGTATGCTTCTAACACACAGCAAAGTTCAAGAATGGTGACCATGCCAGTGCCTTAATTATCAGTCAGTGGATGTTCTAGCCTGATAGAGGAAGAAGCTCTTGATGTCAGATCAAGGGCTACAACAAAGGGTCCATGTGGGTGGTCTCTGTCACTCTGGAGACCCAGGCCAAGTGCTACAGAGACCTCACAGCACTCCCACATAGTTTATTGCTGGCTCCTACCTGCCTGCCATTTTACTTCTTAAATTCTGTGATTTCTTAAGTAACTTGCATTCATTTGTCTTGTTTTGGCATATCTTAACCTTTTGTAGACTTTGTTTTTGGCATATTAATGATTCCACTGAGTCAAAATCAACTTCCCTGTAGTTTCAAATATAAGTCTGCCTTGGTTTCCTCAATCTAAGGGCTGCAACAGGAGCATTTTGTGTCTTATTATTATATTATTGTTATTTTGAGATGAAGTTTCACTCTTGTTGCCTGGGCTGGAGTGCAATGGTATGATCTCAGCTCACTGAAACCTCTGCCTCCTGGGTTCCAAGCAATTCTCCTACCTCAGCCTCCTGTGTAACTGAAACTACAGGCATGCGCCACCAAGTCTGGCTAAGTTTTTTGCATTTTTAGTAGAGAGGAGTTCACTGTGTTGGCCAGGCTAGTCTCAAACTCCTGACCTCAGGTGATCGACTTGCCTCAGCCTCCCAAAGTGCTGGGATTATAGGCATGAGCCATCATGGCTGGCTACATTGCTGTTTATTAGTTTCATTATTAACACAACCTCAAACAAAGTTATATTAAGAAACCATGGCTTAGAAAGTGTACATTTTGGCCAGGCACCGTGGCTCATGCCTGTAATCCTAGCACTTTGGGAGGCTGAGGCAGGTGGATCACAAGGTCAGGAGTTCAAGAGCAGCCTGGCCAACATGGTGAAGTCCCATCTCTACTAAAAATTCCAAAAGTTAGCTGGGCATGGTGGCATGTGCCTGTAATCCTAGCTACTCAGGAGGCTGAGGCAGAAGAATTGCTTGAACCGGGACATGGGAGGCAGAGGTTGCAGTGAGCTGAGATCATGCCTCTGCTACAGAGACTCTTTCTCAAAAAAAGAAAAAAAGTATAGTTTATTTTATTTTTATTTTTAAGGTGGTAAAACACACACAATATAAAATTTGCCATTTTCACCATTTTTAAGGCTAAAGGTCAGTGGCATTTTTAAGGGTAAAGGTCAGTGGCATTTTTAAGGGTAAAGGTCAGTGGCATTTTTAAGGGTAAAGGTCAGTGGCATTTTTAAGGGTAAAGGTCAGTGGCATTAAGTACATTCACATTGTTGTGTGACTATCACCACTGTTCATCTCTGGAACTTTTCTTCATTCCAAACTCAAACTCTGACTTGTTAAACAGTAGCTCCCCATTTCTCCCTCCACCAGCCCCAACCACCGCTCTACTTTCTGTCTCTATGGATGTGGCTGTTCCAGTTCCCACACAGAAATGTCATCCTTCAGTATTCATCCTTTTGTATCTGGCTTCTTTCACTTGGTATTATGTCCTCAAGATTCATCATGGTTGTAGCATGTGTCAGAATTTTCTTCTGTTATTGGAAAAACAAACTCTGTAAAACATTTTAAAGAGGTTTGTCTGAGCCTCTATTGCCAGAGTAGGTAGCCAAGCAGACATCAGCAGGATGGGAAAGGCCCCCACACCCCTGCCTAGGAATGTCAGGCGACCATCAGGTGATGGTCAGGCAGTTGTTAAACTGTCTCTCTAAAATAATAATTGGTTGCAGCTGGTGCCAGGGAAAGGCAGTCTCCAAATTGATAGAAACACCTGAAGATGGTGATCAGCAGCTTCCCGATAAGTCTTGGGAATTGGGCGAGTGGGCTCATAAATGTGCACCCAGAGACAAAATGGCAGAGTTTAACTGGTATATGCCCTTCCTCTAGGAACACTTGACTGGTAAGGGAAATCACCTCAATTGAGTATGTGCACAACTTCAGTAAACACATTGCACATGCAGCCCCTCCCAAGTGCTTTCAGGTCACTGTGCATGTGAACAGCCTGCCCCAAGGAAAAATCAAGGGAGGAGAGACCTAAACCACGGAACCATGCCAATATATGAAACCCCAAGTCAAAGGCCAAACAGTGTATGTGGATCTCTCAAGCTGCCCTCTTGGCCCTCTTCCAAGTGTAGTTTACTTCCTTCTGTTCCTGCTCTAAAACTTTTTAATAAACCTTCACTCCTGCTCTAAAATTTGCCTCAGTCTTTCACTCTGCTTTATGCCCCTCGGCTGAATTTTTTCCACCGAGGGAAGAATAGAGTTTGTTGCACTCCCATTGGATTTGCTACTGCTGACAATATGAGTGACCATGGCCAGGAGAAAACACAAACCCAAGAAGCCTTGAGTAAGTGATCTCAGAGTGGTTGGATTGCAATTTGGTTTTATACATTTCAGGGAGACAAGAATTGCAGGTAAAATTATAAATCAATAAATGAAAGGTATATAGTGGTTTGGCTAGAAAAGGTAGGGCATCTCAACTCGGGCTTACAAGTCATAGCTGGGTTTTCAGGATTCTTTAGTTGGCAATTGATTGCAGGAGTTAAGCTTTGTCTAAAGACATGAAATCAATAAAAAGGAATGCTAAGGGGGTCTGCTATCTGTCACATGATGCTATACCAGAGTCAGACTGGAAAATAAGACACATTACACTGGGTTAATTTGGAAAAAACAATTTAAGGAAATTTTATGATTTGTAAGGTGTGATTTAACCTTATCCTTGCATAGCCTTGGGTCTTATCTATTTATTTGAGACTGAGTTTTGTTCTGTCTTATTTATAATTCGGAATCTTATTGCCACAAAGAGTCAGTTATATCAGTCTTATGATCTCTATTTTAATATAAGTGCTGGTCAGTTGCATCTAAACTCCGAAAGAAAGGGGGTATTATGAGGCATGTCTGACCTCCCTTCTTGTCATGGCTGGAAATTCAGTTTTTAAGGATTTTCTGGGGTCCCCTTGGCCACGAGGGAGTCCTTTCAGTCAGTTGTGGGGACTTAGGATTTTGTTTTTTTGAGACAATCCCAATCTATTACCTAGGCTGGAATGTAGTGGCATGATCTTGGCTCACTGCAAGCTCTGCCTCCCAGGCTCAGCCTTCTGTCTCACCCTCCTAAGTAGCTGGGACCAAAGGCATGCACTCCTGTGGCCAGCTAATGTTTTGCATTGTTTGTAGAGATGGGGTTTCACCATGCTGCCCAGACTGGTCTCAAACTCCTGAGTTCAAGCAGTCCACCCATCTTGGCCTCCAAATGTGCTGGGATTACAGCATGAGGCACCACGCCCAGCCAGGATTTTTTTTTTAGTTTAACCCTTCCTTCTTTATGCTGAATAATATTCGATTGTATGTATATGCCACATTTTGCTTATTCATTTATCCATTGCTGAACATTTTTTTTTCTACTGTGAATAATGCTGCTGTAAACATGGGGTTGAAATATCTCTTTGAGACCCTGAGTTAACTTCTGGAATCCCAGAAGTGAAATTGGTGAATCATATGATAATTGTGCTTTTATAAAATTATGACAGTAAGGAAAATCTGACATAGTTGACTCCATCTTGCTTCTAACCTCTAAGCTGTCCTTGGTCATTCTTGGGTATAGGCCAAGATAACTTTGGGAGGAATTTATTTTTATATTATTCTTATTTTTTTGAGATGGAGTCTCTATCACCCAGGCTGGAATGTAGTGGCACGATCTCGGCTCACTACAACCTTCGCCTCCTGGGTTCAAGCGATTCTATTGCCTCGGCTTCCCAAGTAGCTGAGATTATAGGTGCCCACCACCACACCTGGCTAATTTTCAGATTATTAGTAGAGGTGGTATTTCACCATGTCAACCAAGCTGGTCTCCAACTCCTCAGCCTCAAGAGATCCGCCCACCTTGACCTCCCAAAGTGCTGGGATTACAGATGTGAGCCATCATTAATTGAAAGTAAGGATGACAATAGTCCCTCACTAAAACTAACCCCCTTCTTGCTCAGGGACTGCAAACCACCTTTGTAAGATTAATGAAAGGCCACAAGAATATGGGAGGGGTCTGAACTCTGCTGAGATATAGGCATAATGTCTATAATCCCTTCCTGCTCAGGAGTCATGGGACCAGAGGTCACAAGATTTGTGACTTCCAGTCGAGCATGGTGGCTCACACCTATAATTCCAGCACTTTGGGAGGCTGAGACAGGTGAATCACCTAAGGCCAGGAGTTCGAGACCAGCCTGAGCAACATGGTAAAATTCTGTCTCCACTAAACATACAAAAAAACAAAAATTAGCCAGGCATGGTGGCGGGTGCCTGTAATCCCAGCTACTCAGGAGGTTGAGGCAGGAGAATTGCTTGAACCTGGGAGGTGGAGGTTGCAGTGAGCCAAGATTGTGACATTGTACTGCAGTCTGGGTGACAGAATGAGACTCTGTCTCAAAAAAAAAAGATTGTGACTTCCCCATTGGTTCGTATGAGATAACATCACTATTGGAGAACCTAAGATTTGTCTTTTGAGATGTCTTTCTGGGAACTGAGTGACCCCGCCTAACTGACCCTGCCTGGACCCATGATTCATGACCCAACCAGTCCTGTGGCGTGACCCAGAGGCAGACTCAGTGCACAAGGACATTTTCTACACCCTTATGATTTCATCCTTGACCAATCAGTAGCACCCATTCCCTAGCTCCCTGCCCATCCACCAGATTGTCCATAAAAACCCTAATCTCCAAGTCCTCAGGGAGACGGATTTGAGTGATAACTCTGGTTCTCCCATGTGGGCTGGCCTGGTGACAGTTAAACTTTCTCTACTGCAATGCCACAGTCTCAGTGAGTTGATTTTATCTTTGTATCAGGCAGGAGGAACTCACTGGGTGTTTACAATAATTGTATTTTTAATTTTTTAAGAAACCACCACACTGTTTTCCATAGTGGCTGGACCATTTTATATTCCTACCAACAGGGTACAAGTGTCCTAATTTCCCCACATGTTCACCAACACTTGTTATTTTCTGTTTTGTTTTATTGATAGCAGCCATACCTAATAGGCAGGTGCAAAGAGGTATCTCATTGTGGTTTCGATTTGTATTTTCTTAATGACTAGTGATGTTGAACATTTCTTCATGTGCTCATTGGCCATTTTACATCTTCTTTGGAGAAATGTCTATTCAGATCCTTTATCTATTTTCTGATTGGATGGTTTTATTGTTGTTGAGTTGTAGAAGTTCTTTATATATTCTGGAAGTTCTTTATATATTCCTTATCAGATATATAATTTGCAAATATTTTATCTCATCCTGTGGGCTCTCTTTTCACTCTGTTGATTGTGTCCTTTGATGCACAGAAGTGTTAAATTTTCATATAGTCCAATTTATCAATTTTTTCTTTTGTTGCCTATATTTTTGGTGTTGTATCCCCAAAATAATTTTTAAATTGTTCAACAATGCTGTGAGGGAAATGGTAAAATCCAATGTCAGGAAGCTTTTCTAAAATATTTTCTTCTAAAAACTTCATAATTTTAGATTTTACATTTAAATCTTTTATCAATTTTGAGTTAAATTTTGTATATGGTGTAAGATAAGGGTCCAATTTCATTCTTTTGTATGTGAATATTCAGTTTTTCCAGCACCATTTGTTGAAAAGAGTCTATCCTTTTCCAATTGAAAAGGGGAAACAAGTCTTGGCACTCTTGGGAAAATCATTTCACTGTATAATGTGTGGATTTATTTCTGGGCTTTTTTTTTTTTTAATTTGAACAGGTCTTTTTCTGTCACTCAGACTGGAGTGCAATGGCATGATCATGGCTCACTACAGCCTGGACTTTCTGGGCTCAAGCAATCCTCCTACCTCAGTCTCCCAAGTAGCTGGGACCACACGCATGCACCACAACACCCAGTTAATTCTTTTATTTTATTTTTATAGAGACAAGGTCTTGCTAGGTTGTCCAGGCTGGTCTCGTATTCCTGAGCTCAAACAATCCTCCTGCCTTGGCCTCCCAAAGTATTGGGATTACAGTTGTGAGCCACTGCGCCTGGCCTATACATGTCTAGCTTTGTGTCAGTAGCAGGTTTTTTTTGATTACTGTAAATTTGTAGTAAGTTTTGAAATCAAGAAATGTGAGATCTGCAGTTTTGTACTTCTTTTTCAAGACCATTTTGGCTCTTTAGGGTCCCTTGAGATTCTATCTGAAATTTAGGATGGATTTTTCCTTTTCTGCAAAAATGTCACTGGGATTTTGGTAGAGATTGCACTGAATCTATAGACCATTTGGGTTATATTGGCATCTGAAGAATATTGTCTTCTAGGCCATGAACACAGGATGTCTTTCCATTTATTACTGTCTTCTTTAATTTTTTTCAGCAATATTTTGTAGTTTTCAGTGTACAAGACTTTTGTTTGCTTAGCTAAGTTTATTGCTCTGTATTTTACTCTTCTTAATGCTTTTGTAAACAGAATTGTTTCCTTAATTTTCTTTTTGGTTGTTAATTGCTAAAGTACACAGACAAAACTGATTTTGCATGTTGATTTTGTAAGCTACAATTTGGCTAAACTTGTCTATTAGTTCTAACAAGTGTGTGTATGTATAACAAAAATTTTTTTGTAATAAAGGAATTTTATTCTATTCTTATTTTTTCAGATTTGGGGCACATGCGCAGGTTTGTTACTTGGGTATACTTCATTCTGCTGAGGTTTGGACTTCTAATGATCCTGTCACCCAAGCAGTGAACACAGTACTTGATAGATAGTTTTTCAACCCTTTTGCCCCTCTCTCCCTCTCCCTGGCATATTTTTAAAGCACTTTCAAAACCATCCTCTCCCCAGCTATTAGAAGGTTATACATGAATGCTCCTTGCATATAATGAATACCGAATGCAGATGTGTAGAGAATCCTGACCATGCCACACTGGCACCTGTGAAGACAGAAAAGTAGATGATGATTGCTAAGGTGCTTTGAATCCCCAGTTACACAAAATCAAGCGTAAACGGTTGATATTCCAGGCTGAAAGTGTTGACAGAAGAGAGGTGCATTTAAGCGCTCTTTTCAGAGGTTTTCACTTGTCTTTGTGTTAAAATCTGACCCCGAATAAATTTCAATTGTGCTTATCCTGGCATGTTAGAACTTCACAGAAAATGGTAAATAATGTTGAGTAAAAAATTGCTTTGATTTGCAAGATCTCCTGCCACACCATGAATGAGGTATAAATAGTTTTCTAATTTAGGAAAAACAGTGAAAAGATTTTCCTGCTTGAGAAAGGCAGTTGTACCTACTGTCAAAGTAATTGAAAGGACTTACTGAAAACATCGGAACAGGAGAACACAGAGGTTAGAGAATTTCTTGAGTGTCAATTAGAGCTACAAATATAGGATGTGTGTATTGCGGCTATACGTATAACTGCAAGGAACAGGATGTGACTCAAAAAGTGAGATAACTTGCAGCTGCTTCCACTATTTAGGGGCTTGTTCTGGGGTCAGCTCTCCCCTCTGCTGGGCCCTGTCCTCCAAGTGATAAAAGGGAAGGGAACCACATATGCAGTTGCTGCCTATGGGGTGCAGAACCAAGACACCTTCACCTTGCCGCCAGGAACCCAGGACATCTACAACTGGACTCTGGGAATATGCTCTTCAGCCCTGTCACAGATTATCTTCCCTCCAGATGGGGAGGCTAGGATTACAACAGGTGGAACCATAGGCATTTGCAACCCTGAACCTCATCAGGGTCTGTGAGGAGCAGACAGCAGAACGTAGCAGCTCTCTTGAGTACATGGGTTCAGTAAGTTAAAGCCTTCCCCCTTCCTCTTTCACCTGAGGGACAGATTACTATCTAACTCCCCCAGACCTTGCATGGCCCTGTCTGTAATTACTGTTTCCTTTAATTTCTGGTGGTGCCCCTCATTATAGTCCATTAACATAATGAGAGGGTCCCATCGCCTGGCAACCAGGGATGAACAGGTTTGGGTTAGACTCTGACTCATTGTGTTCTGTTGAACAGCCTCCAGTTGTGTCTGCTCCTGGCTTACCTCACTTCTGCGGTCCCAAGAATGCAAACTGCCGCCAGGTTCAGCCGGGCTCCGCTCCCCACCTCCACTCCCCACCTCTCCTAACTCTGGCTGACCTACATAGTCTTTCCTGAGTGCACTGAAATAGCTGTTTTCATTCCTGCTCTTCCATCCTGATGGCTTTCCCTTTCTCAATGCAGCAGATTCCCCCTCCCAACAATATTGCACATTTGGCGTCAATTCCACTTACCTCACATGACTTTCTAGATGGTTTTATTCCTACAAAAAGCAACTGATTATTATTGTTCCTGTCTGTTCATGTTGTTTTACTTATATTATTATTTTACCTCCTCCTTGTGTGATTACAAATCATAAGAAAAATAACACCTATGATCTCAGCACTTTGGGAGGCCAAGGTAGGAGGATCGCTTGAGTCCAGGAGTTTGAGACCAGCCTTGACAACATAGTGAGACCCTTATCTCCAAAAAAAAACCTGAAAAATTAGCCAGGTATGGTGGTGCACACCTGTAATTTCAGCTACTACGGGGGTTGAGGCAGGAGGATTCCTTGAGTCCAGGAGTTCGAAGTTGCAGGGAGCTCTGTTCACACCACTGCACTCCAGCCTGGGCCACAGAGTGAGACTCTGCCTACATATTTAAAAAAAGAGGGGGCACCAAGATGGCCATGAGAAGGCAACACTGGAACGCAGCTCCCAGTGAATGAGACACAGAGGGCTAGAGGACTTCATGATTCTGAACGAGGTGCTGGGTTCGTTTAGCTGGGACTGGTAGGGCATTGAAAATAGCCCAGGGAGAGAGTCACAGGGCGAGAGTTGCCCAAGGGGGAAAATCAATACGAGGGGATGGGCCATGTCCCCACCTGAAATGCGCAGTTGGGGGACTTCACCCTCTCGGTGCTCCAATTCAGATCCCGTACTTACCCCATCCCTCCGACAACCCCACATCCATGAGAGCCCTGCCAGACTGTGGGGCACCGTGGGTTGTCAATGCAAATCTGAGCAGTGGATCCCGCCCAGTGCAGCAAGTTGTCACACAGACCTGGGCGGAAGTTTGGACTAACAGGATGGACCATCCCACAGAGGGAGGCAGAGTTGAAAGCAGGGAAACAGACGGTAAGGCCTGGCAGGCCTCACCTCCACAGAATTCAAACTGAAGCTCTCGCTAGAGAGCTTGGCAGCAAATACACCAGTTTGACCCCAGTCAGGAAGATCAAGCTCTGGGAGAGATGCTGTTGGGAAGGTGGAGCCAATACTACCTGCAAACAAACCCCAGGGAAGGACCACCACCCAACAACCTGACTGAACCTAAGAGAGCCCAGCAGCTCCCTCTACAGGCCAAAAAAGATACAGCTCCAACCTTAACAGGGAAAAAGTCCACTCAGACTCCTCCTGAAATCACCAGCTTCAAAGATTAACGGGTTATAAATCCACAAAGATGGGGAAAAAACCAGCGCAAAAAGGATGAAAACATCAAAGAACAGAACACCTCTTCTTCTCCCAGGGATCACAACCCCTTGCCATCAAGGGAACAAAAAAAGACAGAGAATGAATTTGATGAATTGACAGAAGTAAGCTTCAGAGGTGGGTAATAACAAACTTCTCTGAGTTAAAAGACCATGTTCTAACCCAATGAAAATAAACGAAGAACCTTGAAAAAAGGTTAAGACAAAAATGCTAACTAGAATAACCAGCTTAGAGAAAAACATAAACGACTTGATGGAGCCGAAAAACACAGCATGAGGACTTCACGAGGCATATACAAGTTTCAACAGCTGAATTGATCAAGCAGAAGAAAGGATAGCAGAGATAGAAGATCAAATCAATGAAATAAAACAAGAAGGCAAGATTAGAGAAAAAAGAGTAAAAAAAATGAACAAAGCCTCCAAGAACTATGGGATTATATGAAAAAACCTAATCTACGCTTGATCAGTGTGCCTGAATGTGACAGGGAGAATGAATCCAAGTTGGAAAACACTCTTCAAGGTATTATCCGAGAGATCTTTCCCAACCTAACAAGGCAGGCCAACATTCAAATCCTGGAAATACAGAGAACACCACAAAGATATTCCTCAAGAAGAGCAACCCCAAGGCACATAATTGTCAGATTCACCAGGGTTAAAATGAAGGAAAAAATCCTAAGGGAAGCCAGAGAGAAAGGTTGAGTCACCCACAAAGGAAAAATCATCAGACTCACAGAGGATCTCTCAGCAGAAACCATACAAACTAGAAGGAAGTGGGGGCCAATATTCAACATCCTTAAAGAAAAAAACTTTAAACCCAGAATTTCATATCCAGCCAAACTAAGCTTCATAAGTGAAAGAGAAATAAAATCCTTTACAGACAAACAATGGCTGAGAGATTTCATCACTACAATACCTGCCTTACAAGAGCTACTGAAGGAAGTACTAAACAGGGAACGGAACAACCAGTACCAGCCACTGCAAAAATGTACCAAAGGGTAAAGAACAATGATGCAATGAAGAAGCCACTTCAACTAACGGTTAAAACAACCATCCAGTAACAAAATGGCAGGATCAAATTCAAACATAACAATATTAACGTTGAATGTAAATGGCCTAAATGCCCCAATCAAAAGACACAGACTGGTAAACTGGATAAAAAGTCAAGACCCATTAGTGTGCTATATTCAGGAGACCCACCTCACATTGCAAAGACTCACAGAGGCTGAAAATAAAGGGATTGAAGAAGATTTACCAAGCAAATGGAGAGCAAAAAAAAGCAGAGGCAGCAATCCTAGTCTCTGATAAAATGGACTTTAAACTAACAAAGATCAAAAGAGACAAAGAAGGGCATTACATAGTGGTAAAAGGGTCAATGCAACAAGAAGAGCTAACTATCCTAAATATTTATGCACCCAATGCGGGACCACCACCCAGATACATAAAGCAAGTTCTTAATGACCTACAAAGAGACTTAGACTCCCGCACAATAATAGTGGGAGACTTTAACACTCCACTGACAATATTGGATAGATCAGTGAGACAGAAAGTCAATGAGGATATCCAGGACTTGAAAGCAGATTTAGACCAAGTGGACCTAATAGACATTTACAGGACATTCCACCCCAAATCCACAGAATACACATTCATCTCAGCACCACATTGCACTTACTCCAAAATTGACCACATAATTGGAAGTAAATCACTCCTCAGCAAATGCAAAAGAACAGAAATCATTACAAACAGTCTCTCAGACCACAGCAAAATCAAATTAGAACTCAGAATTAAGAAAAGCATTCAAAACTGCACAATCACATGGAAACTGAACAACTTGCTCCTGAATGATGAATGGATAAACAATGAAATGAAGACAGAAATAAAACTGTTCTTCAAAACCAACGAGAGCGAAGACAACATACCAGATCCTATGGGACACATTTAAAGCAGTGTCTAGAGAGAAATTTATAGCAATAAATGCCCAGCCATAAGAAACAAGGAAAGATCTAAAATCAACACCCTATCATCAAAATGGAAAGAGCTAGAGGAGCAAGATCAAAAAAACTCAAAAGCAAGCAGAAGACAAGAAATAACTAAGATCAGAGCAGAACTGAAGGAGATAGAAATGCAAAAAACCCTTCAAAAAATCAATAAATCCAGGAGCTGATTTTTTGAAAAGATCAACCAAATGGACAGACAGCTAGCTAGACAAATAAAAAAGAAAAGAGAGAAGAATTGAATAGACGCCATAAAAAACAATAAAGGGGAGATCACCGCTGATTCCTTGGAAATACAAACTACCATCAGAAATTACTACACACAACGCTACGCACATAAACCAGTAAATGTGGAAGAAATGAATAAATTCCTGGACACTTGCATCCTCCCAAGACTAAGCCAAGAAGAAGTTGAAACCCTGAATACACCAATAACAAGGTCTGAAGTAGAGGCAGTAATTAATAGCCTACCAACCAAAAAAAGCCCAGGTTCAGACAGGTTCACAGCTGAATTTTACCAGAATACAAAGAGGAGCTGGTACCATTACTATTGAAGCTATTCCAAACAATACAAAAAGAGGGAATCCTACCTAACTCTTTCTTTCTATGAGACCAATATCATCCTGATACCAAAATCTGGCAGAGACACAACTAAAAAAGAAAACTACAGGCCAATGTCTATGATGAATATAGATGCAAAAATCTTCAAGAAAATACTTGCAAACCAAATCCGACAGCACATCAAAAAGCTTATCCACCACAATCAAGTAGCCTTCATCCCGGGGATACAAGACTAGTTCAACATATGCAAGTCTATAAATATAATTCACCACATAAACAGAATCAAAACCAGAAACCACATGATTACCTCAACAGATGCAGAGAAGGCCTTCAACAAAATTTAACAGCCCTTTATGCTAAAAACTCTCAATAAACTAGGTATTGATGGAACATATCTCAAAACAATAAAAACTATTTATGAGAAACCCACAGCCAATATTATACTGAATGGGCAAAAACTAGAAACATTCCCTTTAAAAACTGGCACTAGACAAGGATGCCCTCTCTCACCACTCCTATTCAATATAGTATTGGAAATTTTAGCCAGAGCAATTAGGCAAGAAAAAGAAATAAAGGGCATTCAATTAGGAAAAGAAGAAGTCAAATTGTCCCTATTTGCAGATGATGTGATTGTATATTTAGAAGACCCCATCGTCTCAGCCCCAAACCTGATTGAGCTGATAAGCAACTTCAGCAAAGTCTCAGGATACAAAATCAAGGTGCAGAAATCACATGTATTCCTATACACCAATAACAGACAGAGAGCTAAATCATGGGTGAACTCACATTTACAATTGCCACAAAGAGAATAAAATACCTAGGAATACAACTAACAAAGGATGTAAAAGATCTCTTCAAAGAGAACTACAAACCACTACTCAAGGAAATAAGAGAGGACACAGACAGATGGAAAAACATTCCATGCTCATGATTAGGAAGAATCAATATTGTGAAAATGGCCATACTGCCCAAAGTAATTTATAGATTCAATGCTATCCCCATCAAGCTTCTTCACTGTTGACCTTCACAGAACTAGAAAAAACCACTTTAAACTTAATATGGAAGAGCTCACATAGCCAAGACAATCCTAAGCAAAAAGAACAAAGCTGGAGGCATTATACTACCTGACTTCAAACTATAATACAAGGCTACAGTAATGAAAACAGCATGGTACTGGTACCAAAACAGAGATATAGACCAATGGAACAGAACAGAGGCCTTGGAAGCAACACCACACAACTATAACCATCTGATTTGCCAAACCTGACAAAAAAAAGCAATGGGGAAAGGATTCTCTGTTTAATAAATGGTGTTGGGAAAACTGGCTAGCCATATGCAAGAAGCTGAAAGTGGACCCCTTCCTTACACCTCATACAAAAATTAACTCCAGATGGATTTAAGATTTAAACATAAGACCTAACACCATAAAAACCCTAGAAGAAAACCTAGGCAAAACCATTCAAGACATAGGTACAGGAAAGGACTTCATGACTAAAACACCAAAAGCAATGGCAACAAAGCCAAAATAGACAAATGGGATCTAATTAACTTAAGAGTTTCTGCACAGCAAAAGAAACCATCATTAGAGTGAATCAGCAACCAACAGAATGGGGAAAAATTTTTGCAATCTGCCCATCAGACAAAGGGCTGATAACCAGAATCTACAAGGAACTAGGGCAGATTTACAAGAAAAAAAAAACAAACAAACCCATTCAAAAGTGGGTGAAGGATATGAACAGACACTTTTCAAAAGAAGACAAATGTGCAGCCAACAAATATATGAAAAAATGCTCATCATCATTGGTCACTAGAGAAATGCAAATCAAAACTACATTGAGATACCATATCATGCTAGTTAGAATGGTGATCATTAAAAAGTCTGGAGACAATGGATGCTGGAGAGGATGTGGAGAAAAGGGAACACTTTTACACTGTTAGTGGAAGTGTAAATTAGTTCAACCATTATGGAAGACTGTGTGGCAATTCCTCAAGGATCTAGAAATAGAAATTCCATTTGACCGAGCAATTCCATTACTGGGTATGTAGTCAAAGGATTATAAATCGCTCTATTATAAAGACACATGCACACATATGTTCATTGCATCTCCATTTACAATAGCAAAGACCTGGAACCCACCCAAATGCCCATCGATGATAGACTGGACAAAAAAAATGTGGCACATATATACCATGGAATACTATGCAGCCATAAAAAACAATGAGTTCATGTCCTTTGTAGAGACATGGATGAATCTAGAAACTCATTCTCAGCAAACTGACACAAGAACAGAAAAACAAATACTGCATGTTTTCACTCATAGGCAGGTGATGAACCATGAGAACACTTGGTCACAGGTAAGGGAACAACACTCACAGGGCTAGATGGGGGAGTGGAAGGGAAGGGAGGGGAGGGACAGTAATGGGTGGCAGGGAGGATGGGGAGGGATAACATTGGGAGAAATACCTGATGT